CATTTTTCCCCTCTAGATACTTATTATTTGAGTAGTGCAAACAGCTCTCAATATTTTGGCCAATTGTGCAAAAAAAAAATGCTATTTAATTTTATGATCATTACACGAATAAAACAGCATTTCTGGTGCGAATCAGATCCACTCTGAGCCTGAACTGAATGCTGAGTTTGGACTGAGCTGTCAGATATTACTGCTTACTTGCAGAATCAAGTGGAGTGATGCACCAGGATGGCCCGTCAGTCACATGGACAGCCCCACTATTGACAAAGCTGACAAATGAACAAGCCTCACAGAAATAAAAATCAGGTGTTTCTGCAAGGAGAACCATTTCACATGGATCGAAGGCCACATATTCAGCAAAAGAGGGATTTGAGAGAGAGAGAGAGCGAGAATTAGGTGTGGGGAAGCGATGCAGTCCGGTGCGTGACTGCTCTCTCTTTGATTTCGCCTGATGGATGATTGATTATTTGTGGAAAGTGTTGTGGAAATTCACAGATGGTCTTCGAGTTCAAGCTAACTGGGACGGCCGCCTGGATCCCAAATCTTATTTGTTTCCTATTCCCAGGGTCATAAAACTGACCGCTGCTTACACAAAATAATGTGAATTTTAACTAACACTGACTCTCTCTGTCTTTTGTTATATCTAAAAGTCTTCATTTATAGCTTTAAGTAGTTTGAAGCAACAACAGACTTATTTTCAGTATGTGACTACATTTCAGCTAAGCAAACTGTCAAATCTTTACTTAAAAATTAGATTTTTTTTTTTTTAATTCTCAAAAGATGTATTTTGAGAAAGCTACACATCTATTGAGAATTAAATAGCAGTAAATATTTCATAGGTTCTAATAGAGATTTTTCACACTAATTCATGTAAAATATAATGACATATCAATGTTATTTTAGTATCAGTGAGGTACTCTTATAGGTTTTGTTAATATTTTGAATTCGTTTTTTATATAGGCTATATTCCATTTTAATTTTTGCAATTCATTCATTCATTTTGCAATTTTTGCAAGTCATTTTTATTAGTTTTTTAAACATCTGTATGGTTTTTATTAATTTGTTTTAGATATTTTAGTACATCAAGTTAACTAGATGAAAAAGAGAAACTTGACAACCAGCTGAAATAAAATAAATAAAGTTTATTATATAAATAAGTTATTACATATTTATATATAATTTATCATGCTTATTATTTATTTTATTTCAAGTAACAAAAATTTATTTTTCTTGATTCTGAATGTAAGCCTGAATGGTTAAACATGGCTTTTCATGCATCATGCATTAGAGAGCTAAGCTCCAGTGCAAAGATTGGGCCATTGCATGGACATCTGAGACCTAAAATATCTGTCATGCTATTACAAATCTAGGGAAATGTATATTTAGTTTGCTTAAATTTAGCCAATTTCCATTATTCAGGATGCACAAGTTTTTTTATGTGTACTCAGCTGTATAGATTGCTTTGTTTTAAGAGTTATTTCCGATTTTGGATTTACCAACACCTGAATGTCACTTAAAATAAACCAGATTTGTTTGGTCAGACAACCTTTCCCGTCTAAGCTGTTGGTCCTCGGCCCAAATAAGCAGCTATTTTGACAAGACATTCAGAGAAAAATCAAGTTTGTGTTTGTAATGTTTTAACAAAAGCAATCATCTTTCTGCATAGATTTTGATAAAATATCTGGGCCCTTTGCATGGACATCTGAGACCTTGCTACCACGCTAGTGCAAATTTGGTGACATTTAAAATTAAAAGCACATTAAAAATCACATTAAAGCACTTAGGAGGATTCGTAATAAGACGTAAAAAGACGCCTGCTGGCACATTCCTTCATTAGCGGCCCATGTTGTTTGCCGCTGACCCCTGCATAGAAATGCTGATGCACTCAAAGGCCTATATTTAGAATTTATTAGCAATATTAAATTCCACCTCAGATGCTTTCACCATAACGTCTGGAAATAGTTCACAGACACAATTAGCGTCATAGTCATATGCATAAAACAGATAAATAACCTTACACTGATTTCTCCAAAAGAAGGCATAATTAACGAAGCAATCATTTAAAATGGGACAGAAATCATTATGAATTATGAATTATAAATGAGTCGGAATGAATAAATCAGTGCATTTAATATACGTGCACAGACCTTTTCTACTTTTGTTGATGATTTCTCGCAAAAATGCACTTCTAGAGGTACTTCATACTGACATCCTAACAATGTAAAAAAAAAGAAGTAATATTAAATAATGCATTGCAAATGAGATCACTGCACTAATGCGCTTACTTTTACCCATGATGCCAAAGTGAAACAATAACAAAGCTGTGAACAATGATAGCTTGAGGGGATTGTTAAGCCATGAATGATATTTCTTCAAGTTACAGACCGAGCATTTATACAGGTTTATCTTTTTTCCCATCACTATCTCGCCTGAGGTGCTAATACTGTTTTCATAATCGCCCGCTATCTTGGGGTTAATCTTCTTTTTGAGCATTTTATGAAGGCAAACGAGCTGATCTTCCATCCAGAAAAGTAAGACTCCAGTATCACGGTCAGTTACGCAGCAAGCCAAGTGCCACGACCAACTCCAAAAATACACATAGCTGACCAGTGTGCATTTGAATATCTAGACATGACCGCATGAAAATCCCCTTTTGCGGACACATTTATCAGACCGTACAGACGCCCATGCAGCCACACCCCATCACTCTCTTGCCTTGTCTTGTCTCTGTATCATTTGTGTCTTAACTCTTGAGCAACACACAGTTTTTGCACCTGGGTGTGAGGTTTCCAACAGCATCACTCCAAAATGCAGTCTGACTCTTGAAATGTTAGTTGGGTTCAATGCTTGTCAGTACAGCAAGTAGGCCTACATTGATTTTCTCAACTGATATGATTTCCTTAAAAGACGTATTTAATTTTTAACTAAAATTTAATTTAGTTTTATGTCATTTTCAAATGCTGTAGTTGCACTTGTACTCGTGTCAGGGTGTGCAAGTAAGCGTTATCAAGACTCTCAGTTTCACCTAAGTAAATCAACTGTTTTTGCGCCAACACGTACCAAAGAAGAAATTTATATTTAATTTTATCAAATAGCCGCCTAGCATTTAAGATATCCAACCATTTGGCAATAACAGTGCATACTTGTCAGCATATGATTAAACTGCCAGACTGCCACCTGCTGTTTGCGATCGGCATTGACAATACAGTACCATTTCTGTCCTGCAATGCACCTTTGTGAAAATCGAGTCTTAACATACATTTTTACAGGCATTAACATACATTCAAACAGTCTATGCTGAATGTCTAATTTTTCATTAACATGCAAATAACCATTTGCATGTAAACATGATTCAGCAATCCCGATTTTAGCTATTATAAGTGAACTGCATATCAATATGGAGGTCCAAACCTGCAAAAATGTAAAATAAATAAATGCAGTAATAAAAAAATAAATGAAAGAACACAAAATAAAGTTTAAAAAAATGCAAATAAAGTTAAAATAATGTAAATTTAAAAAATGTTTAATTATTGTATTTGATTTATCAAGTGTGTGTGTGTGTGTATATATATATATATATATATATATATTTCTTAAAGCATCTTCTATGTTTCAGAGAAGAAAGAAAGTCATACAGGTCTGAAATGACATGGAAGTGATAAACGATGACAGAGTTTTACATTTTAGGTGAACTATCCCTTTAATGTTTAATTTCAGAAACCTGCATTAGACTAGTTTTTTAAATATATTTAGCTTAGCTAATTTACTTTTGCCTATGCCTTGCATCAGTGACTATTCAAATGTTTTGTTTTTTCATGATGCATATTTATAGGCTAGCAATAATTTATTATAATTTCTGCAGGTTCCTCCATATATCAAAAGATGATCTTTCAAACCCTAAACGTGATGGCTCAACCAAAAGTGTGTGTGCAGAAGACAACAAAAAATATATTTTGAAGAATGTTGGTAACCAAACAGATTTGGACCACTGAAATTCATTATGTGTGTATATATATATATATATATATATATATTTCTTAAAGCATCTTCTATGTTTCAGAGAAGAAAGAAAGTCATACAGGTCTGAAATGACATGGAAGTGATAAACGATGACAGAGTTTTACATTTTAGGTGAACTATCCCTTTAATGTTTAATTTCAGAAACCTGCATTAGACTAGTTTTTTAAATATATTTAGCTTAGCTAATTTACTTTTGCCTATGCCTTGCATCAGTGACTATTCAAATGTTTTGTTTTTTCATGATGCATATTTATAGGCTAGCAATAACAGCACAGAAATGCAGCTGATTAACTATACTAAAGAGATGCATTACTAAGCAACAAATATCAAATGTTTCAAAATATTTTCATAAGCAGAGCTCTCTCTTACAAGGATCATTAAATAAGCAAAACAAAAGCCAAAGGATGCAAATATTCAATAAAATCAAGCCTTCAGATTTAGCACACAAACTACTACTGAGGTAAACGTCACCTTTGTTTCCTAAACCGTCAGAGCAGTGTGAGATCAGATCCTTTCAATGCACCAGATGCAGCCATAATGCACCAGAAAGCCCACCACACACCAGCTATTAGTGGACAGGAGCCAATGTTTAGGAAACCATGCTTGCCAGCAGGCAAATTTGGCCACTCTTTTCAAGAGACACCTTGGGATTTTTACTGACCACAGCAACCTCGCTTTAATGTCTCATCTAAAGGACGTTGTCTTCTTACAATAAAGTGTTTCCAATTCTATACTGGGGCACAGAAACCCATGCAGATCACAGGATGAACACCCCCTGCTGGACTCACTAACACCTCATCCAGAAACAACAACAGTAGCTTTAAGGGGAAACCAGGCAAAAACAGCAGGGTGAACAGTACAATCTATGTAACAGGGTTTAAGAAATAGTGTATAATTTTTTCCCCACACAGACTGAACTGCATAAGCACCCAAAACATACTTATGGATTCTATCCAGCATTGTTTCAATTCACTACTCACAATCCAGCTTCCTACGTCTGTGTCCATGTCCAATCGGATACAGATGGTGTGGGCAGGACCTGCAGGGTGAAGATTGTTTATTTTACTTTGTACTACACTTCAGTGGTTTGTTCTTTATTATCCATTTTATATAAAACATTTCTCAAGAATACTCTAGCTGTATTGCCTATTGTGTTACATGATGATAATGTCATCAAACGTCACTGTGGTATCAAGTGCATTGCCTCCCAGACAACCAACAGTTAAAATGTATGAATTTTATCACATTATATAACAAAATATCAAACTAAAGGCATCTTTACACAGCCAAGTTAAGGCGGCTCTGTGTCTGCTCAAAATTCATTGTAAAGAATAATGATGCAATGCTGCATCAAAGCCACACTAAATTATGTCTGTTTAAACCCACCTCATCCCTTAGTATCAAAGTATACAGTTGTAATTGGTGTGTAAATGCATGTATGCCACATCTGAGCAGCATTAAACAGCCTGTGTAAAGACACCAAAATGCCACTTCAGATGTGGTTCTGTGCCACCTTTGCCGTGCAAATTTGGCATAATTGTGTCATAATTTTTTTATTTATTTGTAAAATGTTTTGCTTAAAATGTGTTTGTGTTACATTTGATTAAAATAACGTCAAGTAGGTTTGATATTCTGCTAATATAATGCAAATATATTTTAAGTGCTGTTTACTTACTTAAGTGTCCCAAATCTTTTTAGGCCACTGTATGACTTCAGTAAATCTATATAATAACGTGCTACTTATTTTTTTCTTATTATCTCTGTTTCAAAACAAGGAATCTCCTATTAATGTCGAAATTAACCAGTCAATCAATCGGTAAATTGCTTGTAAATGTTTCTCGTTTGTAAGACGCTACAGATAAGCGTCTTCTAAATGACTAAATATAAAGGTTAAATACAAACAATCCTAGTTAGCAAACAAAATTTAAGAAAGACTCCCATACAATGGTTTTGGATGCCATTATCAAACTTCATGACACTGTTTTAAACTACGATACCGGTGAATCCATGAAGGTTGTTCTTTCCTCAGCGCCCAGACTGCTGTTTACCACATGTCAGCCCCAGCTGGCCCCCGTTCTCGCGATATTGGGTGCATTACTGTTAGCACAATCATCACTCTCGCGAGATGTCATCCAGTCGTCCGCCATCGCTGTAGAGACAGAGGGAGAGAGTAAGCTACAGGGACTCAAACCTGGGGGGGAAAGAGGGCGAGATTTGTCCGTGTTTCCCCTCAACACACCCACCCTAACATCTATTGATGGCATCACTCCCTAACCCAAACATGTCCAACCTCAAACCCGGCACCAAGAAGGACACCAAGATGCGGATCCGCGCCTTTCCCGTGAGTATCAGCCGAGATGAGCGCCCCTCAGGCGGTCGCGGCTAGAACTCAAGAGCCGGGGATCGGGCAGAGCAGCAGGCCACAGCGGGTTTAGATGTTTTGAGGCTGAGTTTGAGAGATTTACAGAGACTACGGACTAGAAATAGCGTGTAATCATGATAATATTAGCGTCAGGGTTTTAAAGATGTTGATATGTTTAAGTTATTAGAAAGAAGAGTGATTTGAAGTATTGAAACAGCCAGTGTAGAAAGTGTTCAAAAAAACTCAATGATTCAGAGTCAGGGACAGAGTCTTTATGTTTTGACCATAACGCTGAAAATATGTACAGCATTGTAGATCCTACAGTCTTTTCTTTAGATCTGCTTGTTTTCTTTCAGTGTTTTGGTCTGATTTTGGGTCTTGTGTTGTCAGACTGGCCCGTTGGTGTTTTGTTGATGCTGTGTGTTTTTGTTCTAACTGATTGTTGTCTGTGGTGTTGATGGTTAATTTTGTTATTGTCGTTGGTGTTGTATTGCCAAACTGATTACATTGGTTGTGTTGTCTGGTTAATTTAGTTTCTTGTCATTGGTTGGTGTTTGGTGTATTTTGTTGACACTCTGGCTGATGTTGTGTAGATCAGTGGTTTTCAGTCTTTTAGATGCCAGGACCCCCAAATATGATCATCTTTGTGTGAAGCACCCCTTTCTAAAATTTTAAAGGCAGCTATATATTTTCATGTATAAAGACACAATTTATGTTGTGGAAAATGAATATTGTTTGGAAAGTATTTAGTTTCTATTACATGGTGTTTTTCTTAGTATTTACTGATAGATGTGTTATTATTATTATTTTTTTAATTTAATGATTTATTTATGTGAATGTAATTTTTTATTTATGTAAATCTAATTTGTTGTTTATTTATTTTATTTTAATTTTTTTTATTATTTATTTTAATCGATTTTTAACTTTTTTTCTCTAAACCTGTATTATTTATGTAAATGTCATTTTTATGATTAATGTAAACTGATTTTTTATTTATTTTAATAACATTTTATTTTTATCATTTTGTTATTTATCTTTTATTTTTACATCTTTCTCTAAACCTTTTAGTAATTATTTATGTAAATATAATTGTTTATTCAAATATATCTCATTTTTATTTATTTTTAATATCTTTTTTATTTTAGTCATTTTATTTTTTACTTTTTTTTCTAAAGCTTTTTACGAACTCTAAAGCACCCTCTTGTAGCCCCCTGTTGTTCCCCGGACCCTATTTTGAAAACCTCTGGTATAGTCAGTTGTCAGGTGTCATGGGTGTTGGTTAGTGTTGTGTAGATTATCACACTGATGATTGATGTCCTCAGCAGCTGTGTTTTTGTCTTTCACTGTCACTGCAGCACACTTTGCATCGGTATGACGTGCATCTCTCTGCAACATTCTGCAATTTTCTGTTCTTTTATTAGCTCCACTCAGAACAAATTATGTGCATTGCAGGACTGTCGGTGTGTTGGTGATGCTCTGATGGAATGAACTAGGTCAGAATAACTTGATAATATGCAGAGAAGTGAAAATGTTTCCATGCAATTATTTTCTGTTAGTGCATTAGAAATATTCTTCTCTTGAGATCTGGAAACCCCCTGACACCTGTCAGCATGTCCGCAGGACTCAGTAAATGACGTTTTGATTTAGATAAGTGGTAATAAGATAAGATATCGCTCTCGTTCAGAAACTGCGTTTACTTTGGATTGGACATGTCTCGCCCTGTCAGAGGAAATCATTAGAAATTTCACAGCTGCCTTAACTTCTTCGTCATAGTATTACCCTCTCAATAAGTGGCTTGTGTTCTTATCTGATACACCCCACATGCTCTCAGCTCTCCTCTGCATTCAAACTGTTTGTCTTTACCTTTTCATTGTGCCTTGAAACATGAACATGTAGTTCATTGTTAAAGATCAGACCGTCATAGACACATTTTTGTCAGAATTAGGAGTGTAAAGAAGCTTGGTGTTTGCTGTCATTTTCAAAATCTTTTAGTGCACAAGCTAACCAGTTATGATTCTTCTGATTGTTCTTGCTTTAACCTCCAAAACTCAGCAAAAATTGAGTCCTTTTAGTGCAAATTGTCCTCTGTAATTTTGTGATCTGACTTTAATTGAGTTTTTTCACTTGTTGGCCTGCCCTTCAGTTACATTTGTTCACTGTTCCAGGATTCATTATTTTATAGAAATGTGTAAAATTGTTTCATAATTTATATACACTGCTATTCTGCCTTTTCTTTAAAATAAATTATTACTGTTGGCGCTGATAGCCTAGTTGTTAGTGCGCCGACATATAGCACAACTGTGCTCACGGTGAAATATTATCAATAAATATTTTTTATCAATAAAAAATATTTTAAAAAATTACTTTTATTAAGCAAGGATGCAATAAATTGATTGTGACATTTATAATGTTACGAAAGATTTCTATTTCAAATAAATGCTGGGTTTTTGTTTTTTTACGTTGTTCTTAAATCTTGAAGTTGAAAAAATTGTATCATGGTTTCCACAAAAATATTAAGAAGCACAACTGTTTTCAACATTGATAGTAATAATAAGAAATATTTCGTGAGCACCAAATCAGCAGCATATTAGCATGATTTGTGACACTGAAGACTGGAGTAATGGCTGATAATTCAGCTTTGCCAACATGGGAATAAAAAAAAATATTAGGCCTATTAGTTAAAATGGTAATAATATTTCACAAATATTACTGTTCTTAGTATATTTTTGTTCACAAAATCCAGCCTTGGTGAGCATAAGAGACTTATTTTAAAAACATTGAAAAATCTTCTCAACCTTGAAGTTTTGAGCATTAATGTAAGTTTAACTTCTAATGTAACTAATTTTTTAACTGAAGTTGCAGACTTAATAAAAGAATAGAAGTGGTTTTAGTGTTCCTGTAGATTAAACAGTAGAGCATGGCACTTGAGCATGTGTTCAATTCACAGTGAATGCATGAGCTGATAAAATGTACACTGTGTAAATGCATCTGGCAAATTGATAAATGTTAAATGTGATAATATCAGGGTTAGCGGTTAAGGGTAAATAAAGGTATGTTTTGCTGTTCAAAGACTGTCTCTCTGGACTTTCTTCATCAGTGCCTTTGCATGGACATGACCTGAGCCTACAGAAACCCAGTTTGGAAACCTACTTACTTGCTTAACACACATGCACACGTTTTGCTTCAGGGATTCCTGTTCATGGAAAAACTGGTTCCTCTTTGTGTTAGCTTAACTTTTTTGAAAGTGCAATGCCACGGTCTTCTGCAGTGATTGCCAAACCAAGTGTGATTCAGGTAGCCTTTCAGCATAATGTTGGTAAAAGTGGGCGTTCACACTAGGGATGTGCACGACGACTAATTTGACTGTCGTTTAAACGAAAGTTTTGTATCCGACTAGTCGACTAGTCTAAAAGCAAGAAACCCCCAAAAGATGGTAAGAAAAAAAAAAACTCTGTGCGTGCGTGTAGCATAGCCTATATAATAGCCTATATTTGAAATACTTAATTTATGAATCACACTGTCAAATCTGCCGTTTGCAGATTTCTTAATCTTAATATAACGTTATAGCCAACAAATTAAAACACAAGTCAAAAACAATAGGATGGTTTATCAAGAAATAGCATTAAAACGGCTTTTAAAAACATACTTCGTGTAGGCTATATTGTCTAAAAACAAAACAATGCAACAATGCCCATTTTACTTACTCAGACCATGCATTATTTGTTCAGTGAAATTATCAACGTGGTCTGGTGAAAGACGGGACCTGAGGCGATTAACAATAAAATTCCTGCACTTGAAAAAACGTGCTTGGCAGGAACTGAAGTCGCAGGCACGCAGAGATAACGAAAAGCAAGCCGATAGAGTTTCAGAAAGCGCCTGGACATCCCGCACCGCCACCGAAGTGAGTCTTCATTAGAGGAATAGATGGCGCGGATGGGATCGCAGCACCGATGGGTTGTAGTGAATGACGTGATTGACATTAGCTGGCTTTATCCAGCCTCTAAGCTAACGCCTATGTGCCTGTATTGAATATTGCATCGCTCCAGTAGAGTTATTGTAAGACAATTTGACATTACACAGTTTACTCAAAACTTTTCCGTTTCCTTCTAATTCAAAATAATCCCACACCTTCTCGTCTTTCGCAAGGTCATTTTTGAACTCACCGCAACTGACACAAAGAAAACGCATGTGAGGTCTGAGGTAAAAATGTAGTTTCCGCCCAGATAAACGTTAAAAAAATAATGTATTATTTTATTTTATCTTGTTATTTAAAATGTTGTAAATGCAATGTTAAAATGACGGTAATGTGAATGATAAAATCCTGTTTTTGTATTTCTTTTTTTTTCTGTCGTGTAATCGACTATTGTTTTCAGTGTCGACTAGTAGGAGCTGTACCGTTTAGTCGACTAGTCGACTAGACCCGCACATCCCTAGTTCACACCCATACGGAT